TGCCCCGCACCCACGGGCCGCCCCTCCGGCCCGGGCGCAGCGTGTCACTTGCCCCCGCACCCACTGGCCGCCCCCCCGACCCGGGTGCAGCGTGTCACACACACACACCCCCGCACCCACAGGCTGTCCCTATGGCCAGGGCACAGCATGTCACACACGCACCCACAGGCTGCCCTTGTGGCCAGGGCACAGCATGTCACACACGCACCCACAGGCTGCCCCCATGGCCCGGGGCACAGCGTATCACTCTACTCCCACAGGCTGCTCCCATGGCCCAGGGCACAGCATGTCTTTCCCCCGCACCCACAGGCTGCCCTCATAGCCAGGGCACAGCGTGTCACACACACCCTGCACCCACAGGCTGCCCCTATGGCCAGGGCACAGCATGTCACACCCCACATCCACAGGCTGCCCCCATTTCCCGAGTACAGTGTGTAACGCCTTCTCCGCTGGCACACACATCCTACCCCCATGGCTAGGCAACAGTGTACCCTTGCTGTCTTCTGGCACACACATGCTGCCATTGTGGCCGTGGCATGGGGTAACCCATCCCCATCTTCCATTCTCCTTCCCCACAGGGCACACTGTGTAACTGTATCCCAGGAACCAGCATAACCCAACTCATCTCCCCTCTCTCTGGATGCAGTGCTAACCCTTGCTCCATTTTCCCCTTAAAACACAGTAACCTCCAGCATTTCCAGTCCCACCAAATGTTTAAAATAATCATGAGATTTGCTTATAATAATGAAATTTTAAAAAATAAATAAGTTTTGGTTTCTTTTTATTTGCCTCTTGGTTTCTTAGCCTTTAGGATGCACTTGCTTAATTGTTTCATGTTTTTCTCTGCCACCTTGAGGGCTAGAAATTTAGTTTTTAATTAAAGTTGGGATTCTCATGTAATGTCTTGATTTCAATAGCTGCTAGGGCTTTAGAAAAAATGCCAACAGATATGTGATAAAATTGTGAGAGTTTACAATACTGGAAACACACTCCATTTCTCTCCTCTCTCCTCCAGGAACACAGTGAAAGCCCTCCATTTCCTTCTCTACCAACCCAATATAATTTCCTTAGGCAGAGTCACCTTCACCTCACCATACATACATGGTGTAATTTTTATCCCCCTCCTCCCAAGCAGTCAGTGGAACCTTCCATTCTCTTCCAATAAATATTGCTGGTGCACAGCAAGCCTTTTACCAACCTTTGGTCTTGTGAGCAGTACTGTTCAATACAGTTTAACTAAAATAGCTTACATTTTACAGTCCGAGCAACAAAATAGATTGGTCTGTTTACTTATGGTACTTTTGCAGACCATGTTTTGGAAGAGTTTTGTCCAGATGCAGCACTTACTGTTCAGAAAAGACTTGCTGTGTTATTCCTACAAGTGGGGGTAACATTATGATTTCTCTGCCCTCCTCCTTCAGTTACCTAGCTTATTTTTAGCTTGTCCTGGGCATGTTTTCAGCTTAGTTTGATTTTTAACCCATGTTTACATGTGGTTATTTGTACTGGGGTAGCTGACTGATGTAATTGCACACTGGTGGAAACCGCTTAATGTAGACAACATTGCATTCACCCATGTAAAAAGTGACTTGTATCAGCCCAGTTTCAAACTGAGGAAAACTGCACTATCTGCATGCAAATTATGGTTTATACAATTGCAGCGTATCTACACTAGTGGCTGGCACCCGTGTCCCAATATAGAACTGAGTATTAGATTTTTTCAGCCTAAAACCATTGTGGTTTGTGACAATTCCCAGTACTGACTCCTCTGAATAACTTTGCTGCTCTTGTCCTATAATGAGCCTGTTCTGTTCTCCTACTCCTAGAAATCAGCTGTATGTTTGTCTTTTACTAATACATATTTTTTGCTGCTGTGTTCAGTCCTTTACTCTTTTGACTCTAATTTGTTTCTAGTTTTGTGTTTTTTTTTAATTGGATTTTTTTCTTTAATATGCCACAGTTAGAATTCCAGTGTTGTACCTGGGACATTGTGTCCTCCTTTGACTCTCCAAATCAGCTGTCCATTCAGAGGGTCTGTCCTGTAACTTCTCAGCCCCTTCTGTAATGTGCTCAGTATCTTGCTAGATCAGAATAGGCAAGGCCAGCTCTGACACAGGGAAAATATATAGCTGCTCAAGCATCCTGCTCTCTCTTATTTTAGCCGTTTTTTCTTTGTCAGCCTTGCTTGCAAATCTCAGTTGAAGGACCAATCAGATCTCTATAGAACAGTTATATAAAGTGCCTACAAGTCTATGTATCCCCTGAAAACTTTGCACATAGTTTTAAAACCATAAATGTATTACTGCATTTAAATAAAGAAAGAAAAACACGTTTATTATTTTGTGGCAAATGTACGCACCTGATTTGTCACCTTATCAAGCAAATAGTAATTTTACTCTTTCAATGCACTTTACCAGGGTGGATTATTCCTATTTTAAAGACTGTACAGCTGAGATACAGAAATTAAGTTTCTTGCTAATGGTCATATAATGAGTCAATAGCAGGCATGGAATAAAAATCCTGGTCTCCTGATTCCCAGTCTCCTGTTCTAGTCCCTATATGACTGTCTCCCTTAATAACTTCTCTCTCAGATTTTTCTGTGTAACTTTTTGTAATGCTAATTTTGTCTGATTCTCTGTATAGTCATTTAAACTCTTATAGTCCATCTTTGCGTGGTTTAGACCACATAATTTCAAACTACTATTTCATTTATCTTCACACTTCCGCTACATCTTACAGAATTTGTTGTATCACATCCAAATTAATCTGAATATAACGTATAGATGGAGTCCATTAGTTTTTTTCCAAGTAATCAGAGCTTCCTTTGTGCTTCTCGGAAAATCTTCACTATATATTTTATAGCAGAAGTAGAGTGTGTAAACATAAGGAAGGTTTGTAGATGAATTCAGTGAAAACACTGAAGCAGTTATAAGTGGAAATCACCTCAAGTTTATTATTTCCCACATCATCAAACATCATGGTGACTTCTGTGACCTATACATGGCCTTGGACAGCATTTTTAATACCTTGTCTTGTTTAGTGTATAGACTTAATTTAACTTATTTAAATATTTTATTTTTCAAGGTAGTTGGTTTGTGGGGCTAACTGTTCTATAAAGAAGTATAAACTATCAGAGGAGTGAAGTTCTGAAACAGCCTTTCAAGAGGAGCAGTGGGGGCAAAGGACAGATTTGGCTTCAAGACTAAGCTTGATAAGTTTATGGAGGGGATGGTATGGTAGGATAGCCTAATTTGAGCAATTAATTGATCTTTTGACTATTAGCGGTAAATATGCCCAATGGCCTATGATGGGATGTTAGATGGGGTGGGATCTGAGTTACTACAGAGAATTCTTTCCTGGGTGTCTGGCTGGTGAGTCTTGCCTACATGCTCAGGTTTTAGCTGATCGCCATATTTGGGGTCGGGAAGGAATTTTCCTTCAGGGCAGATTGGCAGAGGCCCTGGTGGTTTTTCGCCGCCTTCTGCAGTGTGGGGAATGGGTCACTTGCTGGAGGATTCTCTGCACCTTGAAGTCTTTAAACTATGATTTGAGGACTTCAATAGCTCAGACATATTTTAGGGGTTTATTACAGGAATGGATGGGTGAGATTCGGTGGCCTGCATTGTGCAGGAGGTCAGACTAGGCCAGGGATAGGCAACTTTTGGCACGCGGCCCACCAGGGTAAGCCCTTTGGCGGGCTGGGCTGGTTTGTTTACTTGCCGCGTCTGCAGGTTTGGCCAATTGCGGCTCCCACTGGCCGCGGTTTGCTGTCCCAGGCCAATGGGGGCTGCGGGAAGTGGTGGCCAGCACATCCCTCGGCCCACGCCCCTTCCCGCAGCCCCCATTGGCATGGAGTGGCAAACCGCGGCCAGTGGGAGCTGCGATCAGCCAAACCTGTGGATGCGGCAGGTAAACAAACCAGCCCGGCCCTCCAGGGGGCTTACCCTGGCAGGCCGCATGCCAAA